ATGGATCAAATCGATCCACCATGGCAAACCGCGAATATATTTGTGCTGTTTAATGCATTTGAGACGTCGTGTTTTCCTTAGTGCATAACTGACATGTCACGAGTATATTTTTTAAGTCATGCAAATATATCCATTTTGCTTGCTGTCAGGAGTGGGCGAGGCATACGCGAGTGAACGAGCGCTGCTGCACACATGCACACTAAACAGACGGAGCACAATAATTCTGAGTCAAATATGCATTTTGCTAATATATTCGTTGTTGGACATTAAATATGCCTTTTGTAGAATTTTAAAACTACATATAGGTGTATTCTAATGATAGCAGTAACTGTAAAGGGACTATTGTAATGGGTAAATAAAATGTAAGCTAATACAGTCCTAATTACTAAGCTTACTACTTAATGTGTGTTTCGTATAGCAGTTAAAATGTAGTTTTAATTTAGTGATTTTAATGCTTTAAAGAGCAATGTTAGATTGTAAAGTTCTAATGTTATCTGCTCCCAACTATAAAAGGTACAGTTGTCATAAAACCAGAGAAAAAGGCTGCATGGCTATGATGGTATGTGAGAGAGTCGGTGGTAATATCATTGCATTCCTATTGTTCAGTGTTAGAGGAGCTCAGCTTAGTCTTGACAGCTTGCCTGCCCTGGACCAGGTTAGCTTTCCAGCATAAGTTGCCACAGTGACTGATTTTGATCTTTGTTAAATTTGTTTTATGGAACCAAATCATTTGACTGAGTCAGACTAACTGAAATAAGCCTGGCCTATTTGGTAAACTTGTTTTATGAAACAGGCCTCGAGGCGTTAAAAGTCAGTAGTCCCATAAATTAATTTATGATTTGCTGTCTGTCTGAACCAAATAAATAAATGCCATCATATTTTTTCCACTCCATCGTATTGCATCGAATCGCATTGTGTTGAATCGGATCGAATCGAAATCGGATCGCACTGCATCGTAATAGGGGTGAATCGTATTGCATCGCTAGCTACTTCATATGTATCTTCAATGTATCGTATCGTTGGCTATGCATCGAGATGCGTATCGCATCTGCCTCAGTTATGGAGATGCACATCCCTAATGTATAATATATATATATATATATATATTAGTGGTGTACCGGTACACGTATTCGTACAGAACCGTTTCGGTACGGGTCTTTCGGTTCGGTACGCATGTGTACCACATGAATACAGGTTTTTTTTTTTGTTTTTTTTCTCCTCCTTCTCAGGAAATTCAAATAATAAATGGCGTTTGACCGTCTTTTATGTGGCACGACAGATCGCTGTATAAACGCCTTAGAGAGCCGCTTCTGGGACGGTTCAGAAAGTGCTGGTATAATCCCAACACAAGCACTGACTAGAGTGGCCGCAATCAGCTCCGGTTCCCGTGTCTGAGCAGTGACGCCCCGCAGATTTGTGCAGAGCGGAGCGCGAGTGAACTCGATCATTCCTTCCTCTGTACTACTAGTTTTAACGCGAATAAACATGACTGAACATCTCATGCCTCATGTAATTGCTCAATCAGTGTTTCAACCGCGGAAAGACATCAACAATACAGCGTGGAAATAAAACACCGCTCGTTAGTTCACTAGAGAAATTAAGTCTAGAGAGGAGCATTTTACGAAATATTACACCATATACTCATTATATTTTACTAAACCTGTTAGTCTTAATTACTTAATGTACAGTATGTTTAAATTAATCTGTTATGAAACATGCTATGACAGCCATTGTGTAATTAAATATATTTTAACAAATAACTTAGAAATTGTATTATTTATAAGTTAATTTAAAAACTGCATTATGTGCAATTTACATGTTTGCATACAATTTTTTTTCTTTTTTTTTTTAAGTTGAGTGTTGATCATCTATTTAAAAATAAATAGCAATTAAATTTAGGTTTGGGTTAAGTTGTTATGCCTAATTGTAACCTTATAATGTAAAAGGTCTCCCTATAGTTTTAAGCATAAGCTGATAAGAAAAAAATTAAAATTTTGTATTTTGAAAAAATTAAAAATGTATTCAGTAAACCATAAAAAAAAGTTTAGTTTTCCCCCCTGCTGTACTGAAATCATACCGAACCGTGACATTAAAACCGAGGTACGTACCGAACTGTCATATTTGTGTACCGTTACACCCCTAATATATATATGGGTAGATTACTTAAATTGTAATCCGTTACTGATTCCAAATTACATGACAAAAATTGTAGTTAGTATCGTAATCCACTACATTTACACATTTTAGGTAATATAATCAGACTACTTTTTGATTACTTTTGACCTAACTTGTTTATCACATTGATTTGAATAGGATAATCTTGTACCATATTGATATAAAAATAGAGAGGAAGAAAATGTATTCCATTCTTTGTTATTAACATCATGAAGTGAATTAAACATTACGTCAAGGTTTCCCAAACTGGGCTTCGTAAAGGAACTGCAGGGGGTTTGTGAGTTTAATGAAAAGTTAATAATTAAATCATAAAAATTTTAAATGATAATAAATCGTTTTAATAAATCATAAATTATTTAAAAAAATAACAACAATAAAAATAAAATGCTTATTGAAAAATTCTATCTGCATGTCATGTGACCATTAACCACGTCAAAGAACGTGAACATGCAAATGTGATACTTAATTATTAAAATATTTATTTTAAAATATTCGGGGAACTTTAAGTAAATATATTAGGTGAAAACGGTTTAGCTGACAAAGTACAAGGAGTGGCTGCATTACATGTAGGCTAAATAAGAAATAACATGAATTTGTGCTTTTTAATGTGTTTGAAAGACAAAAGCCTTCCAAAGACACAATAATACATGGTTAAATAACCTTTAATAATTAATGTGTTCATCAGTAGTTGATGCAAAGTTGAAACACTTCTTAAACCTGAACTGATTTTTGTAAGTCCAGTGATCAAATGCTGTGTAGCCAACTGACTGTATTGACTGGTCTTTGTTTGAATGTCCACAAAACTGGAAGACTTTCTGAGTGTATGTAAGCAGTCGGCTATTTTAGAAAGGAACATTTATAAGATGAAAAAGAGGAATTAGGGAGAATCAATAAATTATGAATAATGTATTGCTATTGTGGGAATAATATGTAATCATGTAATCCATAAAAAGTAACAGTAATCGGATTGTGAGCATTTTAAAATGTAATATACTTGTATTACAAGTACTTAATTTTTGGACTCTGATTATATAATCCAGATTACATGTAATCAGTTACTACCCAGCACTGCCTGTCTCTATATTATTGCAGTGCTCAGTTGATCGTTACAGTAACTGATATCTGTTATCATCACAGGGTTTGGAGGAATATTGCACTTTAATTGACAGTTCCTCCTCCTTCCGGGCGTACAGAGCAGCTTTGGCAGATGTGGAGCCTCCATGTATACCGTATCTGTAAGAACAGATGTTAAGCATTAAAAAGCACATTTTGTATTGCGTGTCAAATGTCATATTTCGTCTATGGGTTAAGTTGTTATGCCTAATTGTAACCTTATAATGTAAAAGGTCTCCCTATAGTTTTAAGCATAAGCTGATAAGAAAAAAATTTAAATTTTGTATTTTGAAAAAATTAAAAATGTATTCAGTAAACCATAAAAAAAAGTTTAGTTTTCCCCCCTGCTGTACTGAAATCATACCGAACCGTGACATTAAAACCGAGGTACGTACCGAACTGTCATATTTGTGTACCGTTACACCCCTAATATATATATATGGGTAGATTACTTAAATTGTAATCCGTTACTGATTCCAAATTACATGACAAAAATTGTAGTTAGTATCGTAATCCACTACATTTACACATTTTAGGTAATATAATCAGACTACTTTTTGATTACTTTTGACCTAACTTGTTTATCACATTGATTTGAATAGGATAATCTTGTACCATATTGATATAAAAATAGAGAGGAAGAAAATGTATTCCATTCTTTGTTATTAACATCATGAAGTGAATTAAACATTACGTCAAGGTTTCCCAAACTGGGCTTCGTAAAGGAACTGCAGGGGGTTTGTGAGTTTAATGAAAAGTTAATAATTAAATCATAAAAATTTTAAATGATAATAAATCGTTTTAATAAATCATAAATTATTTAAAAAAATAACAACAATAAAAATAAAATGCTTATTGAAAAATTCTATCTGCATGTCATGTGACCATTAACCACGTCAAAGAACGTGAACATGCAAATGTGATACTTAATTATTAAAATATTTATTTTAAAATATTCGGGGAACTTTAAGTAAATATATTAGGTGAAAACGGTTTAGCTGACAAAGTACAAGGAGTGGCTGCATTACATGTAGGCTAAATAAGAAATAACATGAATTTGTGCTTTTTAATGTGTTTGAAAGACAAAAGCCTTCCAAAGACACAATAATACATGGTTAAATAACCTTTAATAATTAATGTGTTCATCAGTAGTTGATGCAAAGTTGAAACACTTCTTAAACCTGAACTGATTTTTGTAAGTCCAGTGATCAAATGCTGTGTAGCCAACTGACTGTATTGACTGGTCTTTGTTTGAATGTCCACAAAACTGGAAGACTTTCTGAGTGTATGTAAGCAGTCGGCTATTTTAGAAAGGAACATTTATAAGATGAAAAAGAGGAATTAGGGAGAATCAATAAATTATGAATAATGTATTGCTATTGTGGGAATAATATGTAATCATGTAATAAAAAGGTGACTAGTCTGATTCAGAGTATTTTAAAATGTAATTTAATCAAATTACAAGTACTTAATTTTTGGAATCTGATTATATAATCCGGATTACATGTAATCAGCTACTACCCAGCTCTTTTTATATATATGAAGGTTAAAGTAAATACATTTTTGAATATTTTATTTTATTATTTAGTTTTGTATTTTATAAATTTATTTATTTTTGTGATTACTTGTTATTTTGTTTTTGTTTTTTTTGAGTATTTTACAAAAAGTACAAGCATTTTTGTCCATATGTGCATTTCCTTTCTTGGCCACAGAGCTACAACAGCTGCAGTGGCGGAAGTGTCTCCTCCATTTCCTCCACTCAGAAGCGACTGGACGACAGCGGAGGTCGTTTCACTAATGCCAACTTCCAGGAAGTTCCGTCTCACTCCAGTTCCAGCTCCAAGGATGGCAGCTCCTCTGATGGCAAGAGCTCGGATGGCAAATGCAAGAAGTCCAGCAATCATAGCACCAGCTCAATCTCTGGCTCCAGGGGCCGCAAGTCAGCACCGGGCAAACCCCACGGCCCTGTGGTCACCACAGCGACGTCATCCACAGCTCCCTCCTCAACCAGTCCTTTTCAGCAAGGTGAGACTTCCAAACATACCAACTTCACTTTCAATGAATTAAATGAATTAGCATGTTCCCAAATTGAACTGCCAGATTCAAGTCTCGTGTCGACTTCCTGTGTGTGACATTTGAGTGAGTCTGTTGTGACAGGGCTGGATGGAAGCCAGAAGACATAAGCTTTGCGTGTGTGTGTGTGTGATAAGACTGTCGTCTGACTGGCTGCCGCCGCAATGTGGAGCAGCGAGTCTTTCCGAGCCGTTTGAGTCGTGGGTGGCGTCTCCTTTGTGTGAGTGTGTTTATGTGTGTTATGAGGGAAGTTTGGGAGTCGGAGGAGAAGCATGTTCCCTTCCTTTCTGCTATCAAGCCGTGATGGAGGGATTGAAGCAGAGGTCACGTCTGGAAAATTTAGACTAATCATTAATGTGTCAAAGTACGGCAGGGGCCTCCTTGCTGGAGTTAAAGGCAACCTTTAAGGAACCCTGGAAGAAGAAACAACACAGTGTTTTCTCAGCAGAGCGCAATGAGATCAAAAGATGGTGGTGATTTAACTATGGAGTCTAATCTTCTGCCTGGGAGTATGTGATATTGTCTGGGCTGTTGTGACAACACCCGACACAGACCCAGGGTCGGTGAGCCACATGACTGTTCTGTTATGCTGCCCTGATGTAATATTCCAAGTATATGAGAGATTGTAATATCAGCAATCTTTTCTTAATTTTTTTTTGTGTTTGACAATAACAGAGAGCAGTGGTAATATGTAAAGCTGTTTATAATGCCAAATATGTGAATCATCTTGTTGTTGATAAAAGAAAGGTAGATAAAATCTAATATTCTTTCAAACAGGGTTTAGGTTGATGTCTGGGTCACTTGCTTAAATTCAACTCTATTTTCACACATTTTGTGCTTGTCTTCAGAGAGAAATGACAGTACATTTATAGCAGTGTTTAATCTAGGATCCAGCGATAAGATATAGCAGAACTTCATGGATGTGTTTTGGAAAGAATACAGAATACCGCTAGTTATCTATTGGTTATGGCAGCCGTTTGTGTGACATTGCTTTATCTTCGAGACGTGTTAACTGGCGTGCAAGCTCTGTGCGTGTTTTAATGTTAGCGGGAGGCTCAAGGGATAGACTGCGTAGTAAAATTGGGAAGTAAAGCCTCAGCAGCCTCCTGCCACAGCTGTAAAAACATGCATGTCGGAGTTTCTCTGACTTTGGTTAAAGGACGAGTCCTTGCCTGAGGGGAGGGCCCGAATGAACACCTAAATCTGGGTCACCCTTCTTGCCTGGCTACATACCTGATTGTTTGGCTTCCCGCAAGTTTGACTGGCCCACCTAGGTGTGGAAGATTTCGGCATTGCCTGATTTCAGGTTCTGTAGGTTATTTTCTGGGTTTGTGGAGATTTAGCCAGCCTTTTTAGTTTTTTTAGTAGAATAACTTTAAATTGTATTCATTTTCGATGATAAATAAGAGGATTCTTGATAAGAAAAGGGAGAATCTTTTCAAAATCTAAATTAAAACTGAGTTCTTAAAACTGTTTGTATACATGTTGGTTTTAATATAGTTTTGAAAAATTTCCATAGAATTTTCAGCAAAAATATACATTTGATTTCATGTGGTGTGACCAAGTAAAATTTTCCTTACACCTTACATGTAATAGTACATATCTTAATCGTTATTTTCAAAAATGTTTTAAAATGTATTTGGGGGGGGGGAACTAAAAACATGCTTATCAAATAGGTGAAGTCAAGTCAATATATTTTTTAATAAATTAATAGATCAGGACAAAAAAAAAAAGACTGTCAAGTCATTCCACATTTTGGAGAGGGTTTTTTGGTATTCATTTTGGATAACTAAATTATTTTTTCACAAAATACCTGAAATTGGTATACCTCAAACATTTAGATTTTTAAAAAGATATTAGGACATACATTTTTAATGTTCTAAAAGATTTCTATTTTGAAAACATGCTGATTATTTGAACTTTCTAGTCATCAAAAAATCTTGAAAATATGTGCCATGAATTTAACAAAAATATTAAGCATCACAACCTTTTTCAGCATTTATTATAAGAAATGTTTCTTGAGCACCAAATTAGCATATTAAAATTATTTCTGAAGGATTATGTAAGAGTAATGACTGAAAAGCTTTGCCCTCACAGGAATAAATCACATTTCAAAATATAAAAAAACCCCAGATATTTTTGATGATAGCGTATAATATGGCAGACGTTTTTCGACTATTCTGCACAGAATTGATAGTTTTTGTGCAACAGCATTACAAGCTCTTAGTAAAGATGATGAGTGCTGTTGTCCTGTGCGATGCTCCAGCTATGCTGGGTTTTTGTTTATTTAAACATTGTGGCTGCAAAAAGGTCTTAGTTTTATGACCACATGCCACCTCTCTGTTGGTTTATGCTGTCTCTCTGTCAATGTAGTTGTGATATTAAGGTGTGCTTTCATCTTTGTCTTCCTTTTTCTCTCTCAGGTCTTTTATTAGGCAACAGCAGCAGTAAATCAGCCACTAGTGGATCAGGATTATGTAAGAGTAATGACTGAAAAGCTTTGCCCTCACAGGAATAAATCACATTTCAAAATATAAAAAAACCCCAGATATTTTTGATGATAGCGTATAATATGGCAAACGTTTTTCGACTATTCTGCACAGAATTGATAGTTTTTGTGCAACAGCATTACAAGCTCTTAGTAAAGATGATGAGTGCTGTTGTCCTGTGCGATGCTCCAGCTATGCTGGGTTTTTGTTTATTTAAACATTGTGGCTGCAAAAAGGTCTTAGTTTTATGACCACATGCCACCTCTCTGTTGGTTTATGCTGTCTCTCTGTCAATGTAGTTGTGATATTAAGGTGTGCTTTCATCTTTGTCTTCCTTTTTCTCTCTCAGGTCTTTTATTAGGCAACAGCAGCAGTAAATCAGCCACTAGTGGATCTGTGGTTCAGCCCACATCTGATTTCCTCAGCTTCTCTGATCCCAGCCTAAGAGCCGGTGACTCGTACACACCTCCATCCTTTAGCCGTTGCCATGTGAAGGGTGGTGTTGAAAGCGCAGCCTCTGAAGGCATGGTGGCTCTCAACACCTTCAGCATAATGTCCCTCCCCCAAAGCTCCAGCTCAAGCAAGCATTACGAAAACTGTCACCCAGCCGGAGAGCTGGGAGGCCTGGCCTCGGCAGGCTACAAAAGACCCCAGCCCTCCTCATCCTCTTCTTCTGCGACATCGTCTTCATCTACTGGCGAGGATGGCGGGAAGAAGAAGAAGAGAGGGAACTGGAGGAACCGGTATGGACCGTGCTTCACCACCCAGGACAGTAAAACCACTGATACGGGAGAGCACAGGTCCACAATGCCCTCATCCACTTCCCCCTCGCCATCCTCTATGAGCACCATGGCCTGCCGCGGGAGTGCAGTCAGCAGTACAGGAGGTGTGGGAGCAGTGGGTGCTGGTAGCAGCAGTCTGGGGATTCAGAAGTCCCCATCCCTCCTCAGGAATGGAAGCTTACAGGGTATGACTGTCAGCTCCCCACCTGCTGGACCAGGTGAGCAGAGAAAAATATGTGCTGTACAATCAACAATAGATCTTAGTCAGGGTAGATGCCATCCATATTTTGTTTGTTTTGTTACGGTTTACTATCTTAAAGTCAACATGAAATTAAAATGGACCCTTTTTATTGTGAATTATTCATCTGTGCACATCAGGGATTAGAATGATTTAGGGCTGCACGATTAATCATATTTTAATTGTAATAGGCATCTATGATATTGTCTTGCTGGTTATTTATCCTGAAACGTTTTTTTCCCCCTTGACATTTCTGTTATCTTGCATTAAGTTTTAATGCTCTACAAGCTTTAATGCTTGTGGTTGCCAGATGTCAAGAGTTTAAATCCCCAGGAATTTTGCGCTTAGATGGATACATTTCTTCCTTGTGTTTTCGTGGTGCCTATATGAAACTGCAGTAACACTGATGAAATCTAAAAAAAAGAAAATACATTTCTCAAATGAAATGACTGTGATTAATATTTGTGGCTTTGTTTTTGAGCAAAATAATTGATCACAATCAACGAAAACTAGTTTTCAATGCTGAACATGAATTTAGGCATATATAGGCATATATCGACTGATACATTTTTTAAAAATCTATTAATAAAAACGAACCAGTTTGGACTGCTGTATTGTGCATCCCTAGTATGCATTATTCCAAAGACAATGTGTTTTCATCTTTGCTTTCAAGTGACTTTCAGCTGACGTCACCAACCTTTCTTGTTTTTTAACTATCTGCCCTATTGAGACTACTTTAGCTGATCAAATCCATTTAATACTAAATGCATCATATTACAGACTTAAAAAGGGTTCTAAACATCGTTTCATGTTGACTTTGGGGTCCTTTGTTGCCCATGTTGTTGTTTTTAAAATATATATATATATATATATATATAAGGGGTGACCTATTATAGATTCTATGCTTCGATAGGAGGAGTCTGATACGAATACCAATCTCACAGTCGAATATTCGCAGGGTGTTATGATCATGCCATTTTGACTATATGGGGTGCTCAAATGTCTGATTTCACATAGAACTACTGGTTTTCTCCCAATAAGTTAAAATACAGCCTATTAAAATAATGCTGTAAATAAGAATCTGAAAAGAAAGAAGCTTCAAATAAATATTTTAACGTGCTTGAATAAATCCAACCACCCCTATAGATTTAAGTTAAGTTTCACTTTCCATAATCCATGATCGACAGAGGAGCATCTTGGCGGCAGGGATTTAAAACTTTAACAAGACTCAAATTGACACAGGCAGAGTGAAAGACTGGATTTTTTCGATCAGGTAGGGTACAAATGATTTCAAAACATTTCAGCCGGTTTATATACAGTGGGTACGGAAAGTATTCAGACCCCCTTAAATTTTTCACTCTTTGATATTGCAGCCATTTGTTAAAATCATTTGTTAATTTTTTTTTCCTCATTAATGTACACACAGCACCCCATATTGACAGAAAAACACAGAATTGTTGACATTTTTGCAGATTTATTAAAAAAGAAAAACTGAAATATCACATGGTCCTAAGTATTCAGACCCTTTGCTGTGACACTCATATATTTAACTCAGGGGCTGTCCATTTCTTCTGATCATCCTGGAGATGGTTCTACACCTTCATTTGAGTCCAGCTGTATTTGATTATACTGATTGGACTTGATTAGCAAAGCCACACACCTGTCTATATAAGACCTTACAACTCACAGTGCATGTCAGAGCAAATGAGAATCATAAGGTCAAAGGAACTGCCTGAAGAGCTCAGAGACAGAATTGTGGCAAGGCACAGATCTGGCCAAGGTTACAAAAAAAATTTCTGCTGCACTTAAGGTTCCTAAGAGCACAGTGGCCTCCATAATCCTTAAATGGAAGACATTTGGGACGACCAGAACCCTTCCTAGAGCTGGCCGTCCGGCCAAACTGAGCTATCAGGGGAGAAAAGCCTTGGTGAGAGATGTAAAGAAAAACCCAAAGATCACTGTGGCTGAGCGCCAGAGATGCAGGCGGGAGATGGGAGAAAGTTGTAGAAAGTCAACCATCACGGCAGCCCTCCACCAGTCGGGGCTTTATGGCAGAGTGGCCCGACGGAAGCCTCTCCTCAGTGCAAGACACATGAAAAAACACCTGAAGGACTCCAAGATGGTGAGAAATAAGATTCTCTGGTCGAATGAGCCGTTTTAGGTAGGTGTTGCTGACTCTGAACTTTTTATAAAGAATATCTCTTTGGATTTGAGACTTTAGTCTTTGCCACTTTACAGATCTTCTTTATGCACCAAGAGCTTGTAACACTCCAAAGAGAAAGGAAAAATTGAAATCGCATCATATGACCCCTTTAATGATCTTTTAATCAAAACATAAAACATTATTTGCCCCGTTTGTATCTTCGAGGCGTCCGTTACACATTTTCCCTGTGTGTTAACATCAGTATTTATGACTGTCGAATGTCTGACTTGACTCTTGGTAATGTATTTTGCCCCGCCCCCAAAATATATGATTCTACTATCAGTCGAATATCGGCAAGATTCGAAAATTCCGATTCAACTATGAAAATCCTTAGTCAGGGACACCCCTAATATATATATCTTCCACATCCTCATTTTCATTCCTTTCAAATTACATTTCGGCGATTCATCTGCGATTATGAACGTGATATTGCGTAGCTTGTCAGTGAACAACGGCTCTGTGTAGTAAATGCCACTCCATCTGAACGCACGTGATGGAGATTTACTACTAATCACAGAACTGGCTTTACTGATGAGATGCGCATGACAATAGCATGTGATTAATCGTGCAGCCCTAACAAATGACGTCTACCATGACTGAAGTTTTTTTTTTTTTTTATATGTTACTCATAAATCTAAAAGTTCTCTCCTAATTTTTCCCAGCTTTCTTTCTATCTCTCGCTCTTTTACCTTTGCAGTTTTTTCATGGACTCTTATTCATAAATGTGCATGGATGCCTATAAACATAGGCTATTATAAATTGGCATGTTTTGGGCTATCTGAGATAATTATTTTTCAGGAATTACACATGGAGGGTCTTTTCAATATCGCATTCAGTTCAATACATGTGATTCATCTTAATCTTTCCCTGAATCACATTTTTTCCATCTCTGTTTATTAAAAAAAAAAAAAAGGGAATCCATTTGAGGTCTGCTCTTCTCGAAGAGAGGCCTGGGAACCAGCATGATGTTGTTTTGGTCTGTGCTGAAGCTCATTAGGGTAAAAGTGAATGGAGGTGCTCTCTAAAGTGCTTCCTCATTCCTACCTGATTGAGAGCTTAGAGTGGCCCGCTGAATCTCCATAGAGATGCACATTAACCTGTTGAGCCCAAGGGAGCTGGAGGAGGGAAGGAGCCCGTAACAGGCAATTAGTTAACATTTTATTTGTTCCTCCCTGATGTTGTCTTCTCTCGGGATCTAGAGTGAGACGGCTTGAGATAGTGTGTGTAGAAATGCCCTGACCCCTACTGGCCTTCCCGCTCACTGAGCTGGAGCCAGAACGCCTAAATACATGGTCACACCGTTCTTTCTCACTCATTTGCAGGCACGTCCTCTCTCTCTCACCTTCTAAATCTTGCCATTGACATAAGTGCTCTGCATACGCATGGCAGCTATAATGTTAAAGGGGCCTTATCTGTGGCGCTGCCCTGTTGCTTGGCAACCATTTTTTTTAGTTCCTTTCCTTCTGATTAGAACTTGAATACTCTGGTGTGTCTTTTTCTCTGTCATTCCTATTATGTACCATCTCACTATTGCCCTGTCCCTTCCCTCAAGGCCATATGGGTTTTTTGTGTTTGTTTGTGCTCCCACCCATCGCTGCCCTTACCTGTTCCTGGCATTTGGCTGGACTGTAAATATTTAGCCATGGCTAATGCAGGGCTACAGCTGAGTGCTCCACCTCATCTATCGGTTTCACCCTCCCTCAATGGCTCCCAGCTCTTTTTTCTTGTTTGATGAATGGCTGGTTTATCAGGGGAGAAAATTGGGGTAAAAGTTGTGTAGTGTATTCCAGCCTTTAAGGGCAGTTCTGTTCATACAAAATGGCAGTTTCTGTGCTGGTTTTCTTTTGTTTTTGAATGTAATAATAATAGCACTAGCACTTTCACTTTTTGAACAAGCTGATTTTGAAGAATGTTTTAACCATTTTTTTTTTATCCACACATTGAAAGTCAACATTTGAACCCCATTGACTTTAACATGGACACAAAACATTGAGATGTTTTTCAGAATATCTTTTATGTTCTACTGAATAAAGTCACACAGGTTTGGATGGAACAACCTAATACAAATAATGACAGAATTTTCATTTTTGGGTGAACTATCCCTTTATCCCTGGATTTATTACTCTGGATGAAACTATGGAGCCATCCTGAGCAGTGCATGCATTTGCTGCATTAACTGAAGCCATGCGCTATAACTTATCTTTGCTTTCAGTCAGCATGCTTTAGAGACGTCAACTCTGACTGTTAGCTTGAGATAGAACATATCTTGAAGCTAGAAACCCAACGCAAAACACTTCAAGACATTGATAACTGCTCAAGATACCACATTTAAATTAAAAACATCTGCCTCGTCAAAGGCCTAAATATGTTCTGCCAGCGTGCAACAATACCTCGAATCAGTCCCTGCTTTCTTCTCTTCGTCTGTAAGGAAAGTGCTGAGGATCCTTATCATGTTCTGAGCCTTGTCATTAACCTCCCTCTGAACTCGCATGGATTTTCTGCTGAGAGAGGAGACAGGGGTTTGACTTGAAATGCTGGCTAATCTAATTTGAAATTTCCCCTCTCTTCCCCCGATTTGATAAGGGGGGTTTCAGGAGGAGATGTTAAGTTCTGATCGATTGGGCCGGTTCGATCAGCACCAGATAACAGGATCTTTGTCCTTGCTTTGTTTGGCCGCTCATGTCTTGTAACCTCTAATCAAATGCTCTGTTGGTTGACCTTTCGTGAAATGTTAATTAGTAACAAGATTACCAGATCAACACTATGATTTAAAGATTAATCTAATCATTAATGAGCCAAGTTAGCTGTTGGTATTCACACATCTCCCAAAACTAAAACCAATTGGGATTAAATGGAATACCGTGACACCGTGATATTTAAGCTTCCTTTCTCTATTACATATGCCCTATGGAGTTTGGAGCTTGGTACTGTAAATGCTTCACGTGGTACTTCTCCACCCAACAATGTTTCCTTGTTTCACCAGTGAATGTAGACTGCCGCGAGCCATTCATTCCTTTGTGTGGCAAGGGGGCCTCTCTCGTTCCTGAAATGGGCCAGCCTGGGCCATCAGCTGGGTTTGTTTGAGATGGTGGCAGGGGAGAAAGGGAGAGAGAAAAAGGGGGAAAAAATCAATAAAACAACAGCAACAACAAACAGCGTGCATGTTATGAACCGGTACATAAATATGAATGGGCCGCACTCCTCCCCAGCCCTGCCTGAAAAGCCCTCAGTCATTTTTACAGAAGAAATAGTGAGTCGTCAGATTCAGGGAACTGTTTTCTGGGTCACCGGGAGGCTGATGCAGAGTGCATGTTGAGAGGACTCCAAAATACTTTGTGCTCGCTCTCGATGTCTGCTGTGATGCGGGCCTGGTCAGACAGGCCATTCAAAGTCCACAAAGTTCATCTCAGGGGCAGCGGGAAAGATAGATGGATAACCAGTGAAGGTATATTGGAGGATAGAGGTTGCCCTTACAGCTATTAAAACTTTGTTTTTACCACTAGATTACAGGTCATAACCTGCATTGATTTGTTTAACATCCCCCAGTTGCTATGCCAGATCTCCTACTGATAAACAAGACAATGTTATTTTTGACTATGTGGGAACCAAAAGAGAATGTTTGGCTAAGTGATTATCATTGAAAATGTGCTGTTTCACTTTAATCATTTGCTGTAATTGCTGTCTTTCTGCAGGTTCGTACCCCAGCAGTAGTGATGTAGCCTGCCCATTGCCCAGTGCGGTGTTTGGAGGGTCTCTGTCCGGATCCAACTCTGAGTTACCTGCTCATCAGTCAGTAGTCACTTCCATGTCCACTCTCACCTCACTGCCCCCGACCGCCCCGTTCACCAGCACCTCATCCACACATGTGAGTGTTTAATGGACCTTATTACATATTCATGCTCAGTGCTCACTCTGTATATGTTTGTTTCGATTATTTAAATTCAGGTTTGGTTTTAGTGAAATGGGCAAATGAATATAAGAAAGATTAAAATTATTACAAGTATTAAAATGTGACTCCAGGCTAAAATTGAGCACTATTAGAATGATTTCTGAATGATCAATTGACACTGAAGGCTGGAGTAATGGCTGCTGATAATTCAGCTTTGCCGTCACACGAATAAATTATTTGAAATTGTAATAGAATTTCAAAATATTACTGTTTTTTTATTATTAAAGAAATGCAGTCTTTGTGAGCATAAAAAAACTTTTTCAAAAAAACATTTATACATTTTTCCAACACCAAACATTTGAACAGTAGTGTATACCTGCAAAAAGTCCATACCTAGATTTTATTAAAAAAAAATAAAAAATTAACATCTACGAACAAATATTGTACTGTTAATCACACAGAGCTTTCAGCACACACACATCCTTTATACATCATCTCTCACAAAATTAACCAATTAAATAGAATTATACACATTTTCTTTGTACTGTGTGCTAATTTGCTCCAGTTTTATCTAGATAAATGCTGTTTGAGCATGTTCATGGCACAAATAGTAATTAACTCCTAAAAGGCTCAGATGTAAATGTTGGGTGCAGCTATTTATGTATTAAGTAACTTTATTTTTCTTTGTGACAGGATTTTTTCTTTCTACAGAACAAATGAATTTGGTTCGCAAGTGCCAGGATTTGTGATAGATAATGCAATATTTATGTAATCGCAGCAGTATGTTAACAGTATGTGGGAGGCCGTCTTTGGGTCACAATGGTACATAACATGTCAGTGTGAGAAGTAAAGTTCATCTCTTCAGACCTCATTTTTCAGCTCTTGAACGACAGTGTTTTAAATCATTTAGAGTATTTATGACTAGGCTGCTTAAGTATATGGTCTTAACGGATGAACGTCCGGTTGTTTCGATTGTGTTTGTATTAGCTAGTCAGAGCATTATGTGTGGTCAAATAAACAGACATGCATGACATTGTGAGAAAAGTGCCATAATTGTCTTTATGTTGGCTATATTATTGCTTTGAGTCAGTAATTATGTATATGTGTGTGTGTGTTTAGGAGTTTGAGGTCACTTTTGCTCACCAAGGCTGCATTAATTGGATGAAAAATACAATAAGAACAGCTTAAAGTAGCTATTTTGTTTAGTTTTATACATTTTAAAATGTAATTTATTCCTGTGATTGCAAAGCTGAATTGTCAGCAGCCATTACTCCAGTTTTCACTGTCACATGATAACACTAATATGCTGATTTTGATGCTCAAGAAACATTTCTTATCAGTGTTAAGTTTTTGCTGCTTAATATTTTTGTTTACACTGTTATCAATTTTTCAGGATTATTTGTTGAATAGAAAGTTTGGAAGAACAGCATTTAAATAGTGAATGGAAATAGTGAATGTATAATGTTACAAAAAATTATGAATAAATACCTTCATAAATCATAAATGACTTAAGAATCCCTCCCACACATGGATGGACTTCTGCATGTGTTCAGATGACAATAATAACGTCAAGTCATTCTTACAGGCTCCCAGCGCAGCTTCAAATGGGCCCTTTGGAAGCGCACTAGAGACTGAGCACCATCTCTGCCGCTCTCCTGGGCATCTTTGTCTTGACTTGCGCTGCTGTAGCAACCGGTCGTTTCCAGGCAACAGGGCTTTGTTTGTTCAGATCTGCTCTCTCTGCAGGCAGGGTGGCCTTACATTAGGAGATGAAGTAAACCCACTGATGGCCTTAATGCTGCAGGGCTCCCGTCAGACCAGCCCCTCCTAACGTACTCTTGCAAATATCCCCATTAGTCCTAAGCTTTATGGGCATAGGAGATTTAATACAATGAGCTTTTTTCTTCACTAGGTTGTAGTTAGAAGATCAGTAAACGGCGATGTATTTAAAACTTTGTCTGGGGTCAGGAATAGAATTAATTTTTAATAGATACATAACATGATCTCATCTTTTATTCCGTCAGCATGACCGTCCCTGAGATTTTTTTTCCTTCCTCGCCATCCCTAACTCTCCCTTTGTGGATTGGTTGGACGAAAAAAATTCAGAGGTTGCAACAGGGCAGCGGTGACCTTTGACCCCAGCACACACCCCATAGGCCCACCTCTGTCCCACTCTTCGTTAACCTCCACAATAGTGCTGAGAGCCCTAAGCCTCAAACAATCCGGCTGTCCCTCTTTTCCCTGTGCGGGCGCATTGAGCTGAGCTCGCTGATGGGATGAGGGCTGACAGGCTGGACAGAGAGCTGTGTAGTGGGATGAGGGGTTCTCTTCATACTGGTCATGCTCCCTCCTCTCTCCACACGGTCTGAAAGAGGAGTCTGAGGAATGGGGAGGGCCTGCAGGGACATGAGGGGCCTGGGGAATGTAGGATATCACTTTTTATTTTTTTTTGTAGTAGACGTAAAAAAAAAAGACCGTTTTTATTGTTAATAAATGCAAGTTTTTTGTTTTTTTTTAATAGCTAAGGCAGTTCAAATTCAGTGTCAGGATCAAATAACCTTTTTTTTGCTCCATGTTTTAGCACCATAAATCACATTTTTACATCCTTTATTTCTTAGTAGAAGATCCATAAAAGAAGGTTTTCAAGGTTGGTTTAAACGTTGGCATTGTATAGTTGTCTATTCAATGGTCATTTGTAGGAGTGATTTCCACCAAATGTGTTTCAGTCCAATGTGGTCAGAAATCCAATACATTGTAGTTTCAGCTAGCATTATTTCCTGTTTGGATCAGATAAGGCCTTGGTGTAGATAAAGCGAGCAAAGGAAAAGGAAAGAATTTATTGATTTGATGAAAATAAGCACTGTATGCATTTTTTCCCCCCAAAAGGACCAAGGCTATATTTATTTGATGGGGAAATACAGTAAAAACAGTAATATTGTGAAATATTATTACAATTTAAATGAACTTTTTTTTAAATTTTTTTATTTGAATGTATTTTAAAATGTATTTTCAGCAGCCATTATTCGACACTTTAGTGTCACATAATCCTTCAGAAATCATTCCAATATGCTGATTTGGTGGTCAAGAAACATTTACTATTATTACCAGTTCTGAACAGTTGTGTTGCCTAATTGATTTGTGGAAGATGTGAAACATTTTTGTTTTGAAATAGAAATATTTTGTTATAAATAAATGTCTTTACTTTCACTTTTGATCAATATACTTTGTCCTTGTTGAATAAATGGAAGTGTAGTCTGTAAATTGGAATAAATAGGAGTAATCATCTATAGTTATGTAAAATTTGAATAAAACTTCTTCAATTTCCCCAACAGTTCCCTGCTATTTACAACATTATTCCACTGCAAAAGTGTTATTTAAGTGCAAATCATGTGAACATTTGTGTGGTTTCCACCATGCACCAAGTTTGTTGTTGCACATATGCTGCTACCTCAGAAGCAACACCGAAACCAATCCCAACCATTGTTAGGGAAATGTCTTAATTGGATTAAATAATTAGCTGCAGAAGCACATGGTCTGTATGTTGTTCAGGGCTGTGGATCTGCTGTTGCATGCTCAGCCAATTCTCCTGGCTCACAGGAAATACAGCTGACATGGTGTTTTATCATCCAGCTCTTTGGCTCAACACTCTAGCACACATTCATATGCACACATGCAGAGACACATACTTGCGCTCCATCAGTATTTGGAATTTGACAGTGTTCCATAGTCTAACTCTCTTTCTTATGTGTTTCTTCCTTAGTCAAACTCTCTCCCGGGATCCTTTAACCTGGCGCCAACCCATATGTTCGGAAACAGGCTGAATCCGAATTCCACCATGGCTGCACTGATCGCCCAGTCCGAGGGCTCCCCGGCAGGTGAGACACACAGATGAGGAACCACACTGATCTTTAGCCGGTACCTCCCATTGGCACAGGATTACCTTCTCAAATCCTTTCCTCCTGCTTCCTGTGCTCTCTTCTCCCATTTCTCCTCATCCTCCCATTCTTTCTCCGCTCTCTTGTGCAAATGGAATGTGTGGTCAGCTGTATCCCCCCTCCTAACCTCCTCAGGTCGCAGTAAGAGGGAGAGGCAGAGAACAAAACTCCCCGGGACAGAAAGCTGAAAGTGTGCATACCTGTTAAATGAAGCATGCTACCACTCAAACATTTCATTAATCTGCACAATGACCGCAGTGATGACACAGAGGGGATTGCCCTGGGTTTAGGAGGCAGGCTTACCTTACACTCAGCCTCTCCCTCCTTCTTCCCTCCATCCCGGACCACTCAACACTTTCCCTGGACCCTGCCTAAACCCTGGGGGTCTCAGTCATGAGCGAATGGGCTTGCAGGACCCTGTCATGGGGGTTGGGGTGGGGACCAGTTGAAAGCGAGAGAGAGAGAGAGAGAGAGGAAAAAAGGGGAACACAGCCTTTGAGGAATAATGGATCAGTCATGCCCTCCTCCCCAAACAGAGGTCAGGGTCATTTGACTAACAATAGGAGGAAGAACACCCGTCCTTAAAGAGACCACCGCTCAAGACTGCAAAGCTTGCATGCTGTTAGTATAAGCCCAGTTCTTGTCTGGCATTAGTTTACAGCGCAGCACGTATAAAGTAGGGGATGTATATTGAGCGGGTTGATAATTTGGTTTATATGTCAACATTTTGATATATATTCATTCTGAAGTTTGGAGTCAGTATTATTAAAAAAAAGAATTTAATAAAAATCAGCATATTATGATGATTTCTGGAGGGTCATTTCACATGGAAGACTGTAGTAATGGCTGCAGAAAATTTCAAATCATCTTTGCCGAAATAATTGCAGAAATTACATTTTAAAATAGATTTTAGATTTTCAATTTAGATAATAATAATTTATAATATTACTGTATTTTTGATCAAATAAATGCAACCTTGGAGAGCAGTGATGACACAGAGGGGATTGCCCTGGGTTTAGGAGGCAGGCTTACCTTACACTCAGCCTCTCCCTCCTTCTTCCCTCCATCCCGGACCACTCAACACTTTCCCTGGACCCTGCCTAAACCCTGGGGGTCTCAGTCATGAGCGAATGGGCTTGCAGGACCCTGTCATGGGGGTTGGGGAGGGGACCAGTTGAAAGCGAGAGAGAGGAAAAAAGGGGAACACAGCCTTTGAGGAATAATGGATCAGTCATGCCCTCCTCCCCAAACAGAGGTCAGGGTCATTTGACTAACAATAGGAGGAAGAACACCCGTCCTTAAAGAGACCACCGCTCAAGACTGCAAAGCTTGCATGCTGTTAGTATAAGCCCAGTTCTTGTCTGGCATTAGTTTACAGCGCAGCACGTATAAAGTAGGGGATGTATATTGAGCGGGTTGATAATTTGGTTTATATGTCAACATTTTGATATATATTCATTCTGAAGTTTGGAGTCAGTATTATTAAAAAAAAGAATTTAATAAAAATCAGCATATTATGATGATTTCTGGAGGGTCATTTCACATGGAAGACTGTAGTAATGGCTGCAGAAAATTTCAAATCATCTTTGCCGAAATAATTGCAGAAATTACATTTTAAAATAGATTTTAGATTTTCAATTTAGATAATAATAATTTATAATATTACTGTATTTTTGATCAAATAAATGCAACCTTGGAGAGCATAAGAGATTTCTTTGAATGGTTGTGTATACACACACACGTACGTATAACTTTATAGTTTATAAATATAAAAAATAATGTAAACATATTCTAAATGTAAATCTATTACAATATCTAATCTATTGTATTATGTAAAGTATAATATAAATTAATGGTAATAATATATGTGTACTTTTTATTTTTAGTGCATTTTTGAATAAATATTTTATAAATATTTAGGAAATTTGTTTACACCTTATCTAATTTGATGTAATTTATTAAATGTCAGGTATCTATCATGGCCACCCTGTTGTCTAGATATTGGTGTTGGTCAATTAAATAAAAAACCTAAAAATCAAAAAAAGTATAATGATATCAGTGAGCCTGTGACACAAGGCTTACTTTTGCAAAGTACTTGTGCTTTCCTCTAACCGCTGGTCACCTGTTGCTCCTCATAGGTTTCCACTGTGTCGTTCAGGTCCTGTTCTTTCTGTCTTTTTTTTATTTTGTAAAGTGATACCCGATGCTTTCGGGTCCAGTCTGCACTGCAGCCCCGGGGACTGATCCAGGGTCAGGCAAGAGGTCAGCACCATAATAAGTCAGACCTTGGGCGGCTCGTACTGATGTGCCCACACCCCCACTGGAGCCAGCCTGTGCTCGAGGTGGTAGTGGGCTGGAAAGTGTTAAAAAGAACAAGATGGGGTGAAAAAGGAAAAGAAGGGGGGAAGGAAGCAGGGAGGAAGAGAAAAATGTGATTGGCTAACTGTGACTGGAGGGGGGTGGGGAGAAAAAAAAAGAGAGAGGGGGTTGTGCTTGGCGAGGCGCATATGTGATTCATTACTTTCACTGCCGAAAATGAAAAGCAGTGTCTGGCATGGGGCCTGCAGGCAAGGTGATGGGAGCCTCCACAGGGAAGAAAGAGCTGGAGGGAGGGGGAGAGAGAGAGAGAGAGAGAGAGGTGACTCAGTGACACACTCAGTGGTGTCAGTGTGCAAGCTGAGCCGCCAGAGAGACCACTCTGCCGCCCTTAGATGGATTTCTGTGAGGAAGATCTGATGGCTACCAGGCTCACTTTGAATCAAGCTGCCCGTCCCTGCATTTCCCAGGCTCCTCTAACGCCCACATCTTCACGCCGGCTCCTTATCGACTGCTCTCTGTTTACCTTTCAGATCAGGAGCTAGGAGACGGAGCTCTCGGCTTCTCCAGAAGAGGAAACTCACCAAAGACAAACCTCTCCCCTCGGTAAGTCCTATTTACATTCCAGAGCTAGACTTCCCCTCCTCCAGGCTCCGAGATTTCACCCTCCCTCCCCCACAGAACACACTCATTCACTCACTCCGTTTCCTTCCTTGCACGCTCACCTTCTGAAACAGCAGGCGTTTTGAGCACGCAGCTGTTGTCCATATCGCAGTTACAAGCCGGTTTCAGAGTTCGACGTGGCAGCGATGTCTTCGAACGCAGGAAGAAGCATTGCATTCATTTTTATGTAACTTGAGGTGTAGCCTTTTTTGCGCTGTGATTAAGGATATAAAATGGATTTATACGGAAACATATATATATACTGCACAAAAATGCCTCTGGGATATAATATGTTTGGTTGAAAAGGTATGTTGATTTTCTGAGTTTCATTTAGATTGCTTCTGTTATTTAAAAAGTGGGTTTATTTGGTGTACTTTCATTGCTGCTTTAGTGTATGTAATGTATGGATATTAATATAAACTATATATTATTTTAAAATGCTGTATTTGACTTTTCAGATCAATTTAGTCTTTTTAGTCGTAATGTGAGTTTGAGAAATGCATTTAGCACAATATTGCTATAAACTCTGAGCGTGTCAGTTTGTCTGTTTGCATGGCAGCCTTTTTAATACTGAAGGTACAAGAAGCCGTTCACATTAAACACGTTTTTTAAATACTCTGTTGCTTCTCGATTGTTTTTCTATGTAAACGTGCTAGACGGACGTATTTGTCTGCTGATCTCACATCTTGCATCTTTTGCAGTCTTGCACAAGACACAGTGTTTTAAAAACATGTCGCTCAAGTTAAAAATTTTAACTTTAAAAAAAGCATCTCTAGTCCATGAATCTCATTCAGGAGAGTTCTGCACCATCTTCAGATTAACTGCGACTATCTGTATGTGCCGTTTCTGTGATCTGCACCAGAGCAGCCATGCAGGGTGATATGGCTTCACAGTCCTGTGCTGGAGATTTATTGCCTTGAGGATTTTTAGTCGTAATGTGAGTTTGAGAAATGCATTTAGCACAATATTGCTATAAACTCTGAGCGTGTCTGTTTGCATGGCAGCCTTTTTAATACTGAAGGTACAAGAAGCCGTTCACATTAAACACGTTTTTTAAATACTCTGTTGCTTCTCGATTGTTTTTCTATGTAAACGTGCTAGACGGACGTATTTGTCTGCTGATCTCACATCTTGCATCTTTTGCAGTCTTGCACAAGACACAGTGTTTTAAAAACATGTCGCTCAAGTTAAAAATTTTAACTTTAAAAAAAGCATCTCTAGTCCATGAATCTCATTCAGGAGAGTTCTGCACCATCTTCAGATTAACTGCGACTATCTGTATGTGCCGTTTCTGTGATCTGCACCAGAGCAGCCATGCAGGGTGATATGGCTTCACAGTCCTGTGCTGGAGATTTATTGCCTTGAGGAGCACATCTCAGCCCAGCCGTAATTACCTCAGAGATAGATTCACGTTCACCCAAGAGCCCTGATGTAGAGCCCAGAGCTGGATGTATTCATAATAACACAGATCGCTGTCTGTCCAAACAAGTGCTCACTGATATTTATGGTGTCAGAGAGGCAGACCCAGGCTCTCTCACTTGGACAAGCTGTGAACTCTATTTGGCTTTACTGAGCAGCACGTCTGCCTCTGAAGGCAGGACGCCAGACCAGGAGTTAAACTGTGTTGTTAATATAGCAGCAGTCTAGTGTGTGTTTGTAAGCGAAAGCTGATTATTTATAACCTGAATTGTACCACTGTGAACAGATCTGATATGCGTTTCCATGTTAAATTCATGATGAGACAAATTTGAGCTATGTTTGATAAACTTGTGTGTATAGATATCTCACTTGTTTTCTGTAAATTACTTTAGGTCTCCGTTAAGTGGGCTTCATATCCGGTATGACTCGTCAGGACCGTTGGTTCCGGGGCTCGGATCTGGTTCGGATATGTTGCCCCCGGTGGCCACCAGCATCGACCAGCTGCTGGAACGGCAATGGAACGAAGGACATCAGTTCTTCCTACAACAGGGCTCACAAGGAGATGGTGAGATGATTTTTTTTTTACAGATATATAATGATGCTTGTTGCTTCCATATACAATATTGAACCTCAGCACTCAAGCACAGAGCTGTTTATTGTTGAGCCATAGGATCCTGTCAGTTGTAATGGTGGCTGATGCTACTGTTGTGTTTTGGAACATAAGCCTGCACTAGTGTTAATTTTGGCATCTATATTTTTAAATTAGTCTTAATCCTGCCAAATGTCCTTGTTCGCTTTTATAATATGTAGTCAATCTTAACTTGTTTTCTGTTAGTAAAGTTTTAGTTGACCATCTGGGCATTTTAGTCGTTTTAATCAGTCAGAACTGTTGACATTTTAGTAATATTTTAGTCACATTCAGTTATGAGGCACATATTGTCTCCTTTTTGTCAATGAAAATAATTTTTTAACAACATTCAAATAATGTTTCAAAAATATTGCATGTTGATATAGTTAGTTATTGTTTGATGAAGTAGGTGTCATCTCATCACCATGTTGTCTTAGTCATAACTCATCCCGGACGTCTAATTCTCCTTAGGTTCCCTCAAGATTTACAATGTAAATTACACATACCCATATTGAAAATGTGAATTTTGAAGCAGTTATGTTTAAGTAACTACATAAGTTTGGATTGTGAGTGAATGCACTTTGTTATGCAAAAAAATGCCCAAGTATCGTCAAGTTATACAGATCTTATTTTACTTATACATTGAAAAACCCCATGGGATAATTTTGAAATGAACACATAGTGATATGTTGTTAATATGTTGTTACTGATAAAAGGTGAAAAAATATATATATATTTGGTGAACTTGCATTAAACAAAAAGCAGAGCCAAATTTAGAGACCAGGATGTCATAGAGACTTGGTTGACTCTTGACCTGGGGCAGTAAACACATAACACCATACTAAACCCACCCAGAACAACTTGGTAACCATATATCAACGTCCTGAAAACCCACTTACCACACCCTAGCATCGTTTTGATGATGTTTGACTTGCATGCAAAATCAACTAATTCCTGTTAGAATAATTTCATATTCTAGCTGAGAGGGTTCACAGATTTGGCAAAGAAGGTTGTAGAGATATCAAAAGGCATTTTAAATTAATTTCTCATTAGTATGCTAAAAGCCTTTATTAATTATGGTCATTGAAATTTGGCTCAACTTGTGAAAATTGTTACATTTATGTTCAGTCTAATTTGTCAATTTTAATCTCAGGGTGCATAGCAATAAGCTTGGGGCTATTGCTTTTATTGAAAATATTTTATTTAAAGCGAAAATAATTACCTGCATCATAAACGTTATTTTACTGCATGGCGTCTCCTAATGTGAGTAATTAAATTATTGGTTAATACCACAGTAATTACGAGCTTCATTACATGTATTTTGTCTGTGTGTAACTTGTGTGGTTTCATGATCGGCTAAGTAATGCTAGCGTGGCGGTAGTAGCAAATCTCTCAGTAGCAGAAGGTCGGTTTGTAGTGTCACAATTGTGTGAATGAGCAGCAGCTGTTTCTGTTATGATAGAGGCTCTTCTGGCGACGGGGGGGGAGTCTTACAAGCGCATGGAGCAGGAAGTGGTAGGACGGTTGTGTTTCTGATATGAGACCAGTTGTGCGGTTTTGCTGACAGTGCATCTGGTTTGCATTTCTCTCGGGTTTGCTGGCCGCCAGTCAGTGCCGTGTGATCCTCCGAGAGCAGAAGTCTGCCGTTGTAGTTTTTTTCTGGAGGTCTTGAACCACACGTGTACCAATGTAGTTTTTGCGCTTGTGGTATCAGGTTCGCTGCTTCTAAAAGACTTCATCTCGGGGGTTTGTAACCTCTACTATTTTGCTGTCAAATCTTGATGCGTATGTTTTGTGTGTGTGTGCTTTTATGTCCAGTTCTGGGAATGCTGAAGTCCCTGCACCAGCTGCAGGTGGAAAACCGGCGTCTGGAGGAACAAATCCGAACTCTCACCATGAAGAAGGAACGACTGCAGCTCTTGAGCGCTCAGCTCTCTGTGCCTTTCACCCCTGCGAGCACCACGGCCACCGCTGCCTCTTCTCCTCTGTACCCCAGCAACACTCATGCAGGTTAGACACACACGCTATCTTATGCCTCTTGTCTACCCTTAGAGTTTTCACACACTTCATCTGGACCGTTACAGTCTAATCCCACCCCAAACACCCCACCCCCCACCCCGATCCACACATACATTCACACATACATGCACACGAGCCCACCTTTCACCCCGTACGACCCCTTCCTCCCCCTCTGTTCTGCTCATGGAGGCTCCTCTCCCAGCTCAACTCTAGCTAATCTGGTCTCCACATTCATGTCAAGTTGCAAAATCTCTCTCTCCTCCAGACATGCTGCACAGCAAGAGCATTCAGCTAGGCAGCAGTGTTTTAACAGAGTCCTCTCAACCCTTGCCCACTCAGGTAACTTCCTCTACCCCTGCTCTGCAGATGCCATCTGCTGGGACTGATCACCTCTTTAGTTGAGTCAAGTGTTATATTATGTATATCTGTACATAGTCGAGTGTGTTGCACTGATGTGATGGTGTAGTACGTAATTGCATCGTAATGACAGATTCATGGGATAATTGGTGGCTGTGTGATGTTTAAATGATTTGCAGCAAAAGTCTGATTGAAATTATGCTATATCTATTTGGTTGGACAGGTTCAGGAGGCGCGCCTCTCTCACGTTGACCTCTCTTTTCTCTCTCTCTCTCACACACTCTTGTGCTTTCTCTATTCTTTCTCTTTCTTTCAGGATCCCCTGTCTGGTGGCCATAGTAGCGGAAGTAGCACGTCCTCTCTCTCCACCCCTCCGTCTGCGGCCCACAGTCCCCCCCAGCAGCAGATGAATGGAGTCGGCATGGCCGGGGTGGCCATCCAGCCTGGCAATGCCAACTCGTCCCTGCCTGCCATAGCCGGGGTGACGGGTCTAATGGGCGCTCTGCAGGGGAACCACCTGGCCATGAGTGGTATCGTGGGTGCCCTAAACGGAGTCATCCAAACCTCCCCCAGCCTGGCCCAGAATAACAGCCCCCTGCCCCATCCCTCAGCAGCTACCAGCGCATCCCTGCCCATGTCCAACAGTCTCAGTAACAGGTACAAACTGGCACTTGCCGCCTTAGGCTTTGCATTGAGAGTCCTTTTTGTTAAAGAGTAAATTTGATTACTTTGGGAGGGAGTGGGAGGCACTGGTTGAGGATCCATAATTAATGGTTTAGATGCCACAGTCTGGATTAGTAATAAACTGGCAGGTGATGCTGTTGGAGATGTGGATTTCTCACAAAAACTGTCAAGAAATTGGCCAGTTCATATTTTACCCCCAGAGCAAAAGAGAAATGAAATATATGTTATGTTTTTTATACGTTATAACATATTTATTTAATCAGTGAAAACAGTCATATTGTGAAATATTATGAAAGTATAACAAAGTAATTTTCTGTTTTCATATAAAATGCCATTTATTCCTGTGATGCAAAACTAAATTTTCAGCACCCATCACTCATTTTAAGAAATATATATTATAGTCTATTTATATATTGCATTTTTTTTAATGTAATTCAACATTTTCTTTCATTTATTCTTTTATTTTGGGGTGAATTGTGACTTGGACATGTTTGTGAGATTCATTCATACTGCTTGGCATTGTGTAATGCATTCATATTTTCTTCAACTCTTCTGCTTGCCGATCTCTCTTGCTTTCGCTTCGGAATGCAGCAGCATGACCACTGTGAAAACCAGGTGAGGATTGGCTTGCTTTGGCTTTTTCTTTCTCACTTGCTCATTTTGTTCCTATGCCTGTACATCTGCCTCTGAAACAAAATTGTGTACTCAAAATTGAACCACTGGTGTTTTCAAAGCAAGTTCCAGCTTAAACAGCCCTCCCTTAGGCAAGAACTGGACCATTAGTTATGATTACAGTCTCTTTACTTTAGCATACAGAGGGGTTTTATTTTATATGTAATAGTTTTGTGTGGCCATGGCCAAGAAGTTTCTGAAATGCTGACAATTTAGTTTGCTTATGAGGGCTTATGTATATGTGTTTGCAGTGCAGCAAGGCTTTTCAGCGATCAGCACAGGCAGATCCTCCTCCATCAGCACCAACTGCAGCAGCTTTTCAATTCTCAGCAGGCCATACCGGTAAGAGGAGCACTAGCACACATACTCCTTTACACAGCCTTGGAGTCTAGAGTCTGTTTGTTCATGTGACCTATAACATAAAGTCCACACAGCAGCTTATTTTGGCCATGATCCTTGTTATTAGTCAAGATGATGCTGTCCGAATGATATATAATGTAACATTTAGGGGCGAATAAATCTGAAATAGATTTAAATACATGATATCAAGACCACAAAATATATGCATGCTTACTTATAAGAATCCTACAAACAACCTTATCTTTTGATGATTCAATGCCAGAAAACTCTCATACGTCACAATGGCTTCTTCCTCAGAAGTGTTTATTTTAGCATCCTGGCAGCTTGGAATTGCAATTTTGAGGAAACTCTTGCCACTATTCTGTGCAATATTCATCATACGGTCCGTGGGCAGGCTGTGGGTGTGCCATCTTTGTCTAGACATCTCATCATACTCTGTTTGTCTGTCTGTTTAGGAACAGCAGCAGGCTCTGCTCTATCAGTTAATGCAACAACAACAACAGCAGCAGCAGCAGCAGCAGCAGCAGCAGAATGATATTTACGGTCAGCAGCTGCCAATCAACAGCCTCCTGCCTGCCACGCAGCCAGCCATCACCACAAACCCCTTCCTCGCCATGCACAACGACAACACTCCTAAAACTGGAGTTGGTACTGCAACTATCAAACAGACAAAAGTATTAACTTATAATATGGATTCATTAAATATTTTTTATATATATATATATATATATATATATATGTGTGTGTGTGTGTGTATGTATCTATCTGTGTGTATGTAATATATGAATGAATTCATATGAATATATAATTGTGGTAATATATATTATTTTCAATAATTTTTGTAAATGTATTACATTAATAGAATGCTATAATACATTTATATTCATGTATAAATGCTAACAAATGTATTGTTTTATTAATGTAATATACAATAATAATTATTAGAAAATAAAAATGATATAAAAGCTATTCATAATTGTATATATTAATATAGTAATATAAATATATTAAAATAAATAATGTTTAACATTTTCTTAATATTAATATTTTAATATAATAATATTATATACATTGTAATTACATTATTATAATTATATATACATATATCATTATAGTATTTACAATAATTATAATTTTGTATTGATATTATTGTATTGTATTTATTGTATATTTTTTATTTATACATTAGATTTACACCTGAAAGCTAAATAAATAAGCTTTCCATTGATGTATGGTTTATGATAGGACAATATTTGGCCGAGATACAACTATTTGAAAATCTAGAATCTGAGGGTACAAAAAAATCTAAATATTGAGAAAATTACCAAATTTTTTACCAAAGTCCTTAGCAATGCATATTACTAATGATAATACATTTTTTATATATTTACGGTAGGAAATGTACAAAATATCTTCATGGAACATGATCTTTACTTAATATCCTAATGATTTTTGTCATTTAAAAAAAATCTATAATTTTGATCCATATAATGTATTGTTGGCTATTGCTACAAATATACCCAAGCGACTTAAGACTGGTTTTGTGGTCCAGGGTCACATATATTTATATAAAAATATATTTATTATAAAAGTTATTTTATTTACAAAGTTTGAGAATCACTTATTGAAATTGTGCTTGTGTTTTATTCAGAGACTGGGAGAGAAGGCGGTGTCTGTGACAGGACAGGAGAAGACCTGATGTAGAAAACAGCATTTTGGAGTAGTTCTGTCTTATGGATCCCTCTCATCTGCTCACCCCAAGAGCCTTGCAATCTGAGCAGCAAGACCAGAACATTCACCCACAGCACGGAACCCTCACCAGCACCAGCCTTCATATATACACACACTTGCCAGTTTGATGCCCATCTGGCAAACAACATGCTGCACTGAGTTTGAGTAAATCACTTGCTGTAAACTTACTGGATCCCATTGGGGCCAAAAGACAGGCTTACACAAATATGTGCACGCACACGCACGCACACGCACGCACACGCACGCACACACACACACACACACACACACACACACACACGGTCTCTCTCACCCTGCCAGTGTGCTGAAAATGACACACTGGTGCAAGTCACTCTGGGCGGAAAGTGTAGATCGAGGTCTCGGATGGGGATTGTAAGATGAAGATGCTTCTGGAACAGTATCTGCTCACCGCTGTTACCGCTCTGTACCCCTTTAACAAGAAACATGTAACGATAATCTCAATAAAAACGATATATTTGTCCATCTGTGTATCTAAAAAGCGATGAAGAGATCAGACATTTGTGCACCATGAAGGCCTTCTCTGCATCCTGATCTTGAGCTTTCCCTGTGAGGAGGCATCCCAAAGGTCCACAAACTGTCAAACTGTATGACCCTGCTGCACTCTTTGAAGAGCAACTACCTCTCAAGCCAGGACACACAGACTAGGCCCTGAGCCCAAGTGCCTGGCCCACGATCTCCAACTTCTCAGTGAGGGGCCGCGCGCTGGAGATGCTGCCAGTCTGTCTCTCTCTCTCCTTCCCTTTTTAGTTTTTCCTCCAGTCGATCCATTTTTTCTGAAAAGATTTAATACCAATCGGCGTCGCTCAGGCAATACCAGTTCAGAGAGTCCCAGAGATCTCTGCCTGTACAGTGACTACACTGAAAAAAAACTGATTTCGAATGTTTGTGCTGCATTAATAATTTTTGAAGCCTACTTTCTATTATTCCTTTCTTATTTATTTGCATTCGTTGCATGTTGGGCGCAAGGTGATATATTCGAATGCTCAACTGGCAAAATGTTTTTATGCTACTGTACAAACTTCTCACCTCTTTTGAGTATTGTAAACATTTTGATGAACATGTCTTGTTTGAATTTATAAAAAAAGAAAAAAGCCTACTTGATAATTTTGTGGACTTGTACATACACCTGGTTTTTCCTTTTGTTGCTATGTAAATCTACAGATGCATATTGGATTAAGAATAAGCTCTCAGAATAAATAAGATTTAGTTTAGCACACTTTTACCTCTTTTCTGTTGTAAATACATATTTGTGATTCACTTAGTGGTGTGAAGGACTGTTTCAAAGCACTGTCAGTGTGTTCAGATATTTTCCAATAGGCTTTCCACAAGACTGATGTCTGGATAAAGTGTATTAATTTATTTTTGTATGTGCAGGGACTTTTTTGGTTTTATATGTTATAGATGTGTTATGTCCACGTTCTCATGTATCTGTACAGAAATTATGCAAAATCTAAAGTTTGTATTTAAAACATCAAAAGTGAAACCACACGAGTCCTGATTCATATTAAGAAATTCTGAACACTGAGGTTGTAGTGTTGCGCTTTTTTTTCAGTGATAAATTAAAATGTTTATTACAATTCTTGCATCTTGCAGTGCCTTTTTTATTTAACAGTCTGTTTTAGCATAGCAAAACATAACTTTTTTTCATGCTTTTAAATCCTTGCAAAGAATGCTAACAAATTATGCTAGAATGGACTTGCAAACCTCTTTTCATTAAAAGAATGACTCATTCGTAATTCAGACTCATGACAAGTATTCCAATTACAGATCTCTCCTGTTAAAATGCGACGGCATTACATTCAGTTCCAATGAAGTGCTTCTAGATTATAATTAAAATAAATATCTTTACATAGTTTAAAGTGATAGTTCACCCAAAAATGAAAATTCTGTTTATCTACTCATCTTCATACCATTCCAAATCTGTGTGCATTTCTTTGTTGTTGAACACAAAAAGACGACATTCTGAGTGTTGATAACCAACCATTTTTGCCATTGACTTCTATTGTTGAACAGTAGAAGTCAATGGGAACCGAAACTGATTAGTTCCCAACATTCTTCAAAATATCTTCCTTTGCGCTCAACAGAACGACATACAGGTTTGAAACAACATGAGGTTGAGTAAATTCCAGAATTTTCGTTTTTTGGGGATGAACTATCCCTTTTAACACTTGGCCCTTAACTACAATGGGCCCTTGTCACATTTCCAGGGTTTCTCTAAAGCAGAAGTTGCCATAGTTGGGTCAGCTTGTATAGTGGTGAACAGAAACTACAACAAATATATTTTTGGCATTCCCATTTGCCCCAAAAGAAAAGAATCCACGATAGAATTTCAACTATTTTCAAAAAGATGAAAAATGCAGAGATTGATATTAATACATTGGTAAGAATAGAGAAAGATGTCAACTCACACAGCAGTGTTACCTAACATTCTGAAATACACATTTAAAAAAAAAAACACGCCATCAGTCCATAGTATGAATATCACAGCCCTGATAAAGATGCCAAAACTAAACTTGCATTGAGATTGAATGAAATATGCCATTCATATCCATTTATCTTGGTGAAATTAAGAACTCTTTACCTTTATTAAAATTATACTACTTGTGCTGGACATATAAAGGTCAATGGATCAGCCACATGCATATTTCTTCAATTATGAGCAAGGAAACAGACACTAAACTCCGTCATCCCCACCCCATTTGTACTCTCAAGAACCCCCATATTTCTGCAGTCTGTCCTTGTGTTTGCTATTTGGTGAGTGGAACCCATTTCTCAGCATGGCCCCCAGGGACCTGCCCACTGTCCCTGCCCAGCTCTGAGCGCTCCTGCTGTGGGAACAGCAGGCCCCTCTCTCCCCTCAGCTTCATCAAGCTGTCCAAACTACTGACCACCCTCTGACCCCTGACCCCTAAAAGCGGCACGCACACAATGGGGCCAGTGACAGCATTCGCACATCTGAAAAATCTTCGCTTAATTTTAATCAGAAGAAAGCATTCTTAGAACGTCATATTTTGTGGGGCACCGTCGCGCTTTTCCCATGAAATAAGGAACTCTTTTATGTCCTAAACGTGAGTTCTTAAGTAAGCCTCTAATAATATTTTTATTCCATTCGCACGACAGTGATAAATAAAATATTTAGTTATTTAGTCCTTTCCCACCCAGTTAGTGATGGCTTTGTGTTAATGCCCGCTCAGAGAGCAGATGGGGTAATAGGAGGCCGAGGGCAGAGAGCTGCTAAAGCCTGTGTCGCTCACTCTCTCTCTACACTCTTAAAAATAAAGGTGCTTCAAAAGGTTCTTCAAGCGATGCCATAGAAGAACCATTTTTGGTTCCACAAATAACCATTCTGTCAAAGGTTCTTTAAAGAACCATCTCTTTCTTACCTTTTTATAATCTGAAGAACCTTCTTTCGCAAACAAAGAACCTTTTGTGAAACGGAAAGGTTCTTCAGATGTTAAAGGTTCTTTATGGAACCATTTAGACAAAAAGGTTCTTCTATGGCATCGTGAAGCACCTTTATTTTTAAGAGTGTACCAGGTGCACTGGAGGGGGTGATCCAGATTTTAAAAAAAACCCACTGAAGATCCTTAGCGACGATTCATTTTCACCCCTGCTGCCTGTAAGGAATGGATTCAGCTTACAGGTATAGGTAACAAAAGCTGCTAACTGACAGAGCTGCTGGAAAGGGAGGTGACTGATTTATGGTCCTTTTCTTTCTCATTCTCGCCAGAACTGTAACCCCGAATGACCATGTCAAAATGAAATTTAGGAATATTATACGACCACAATGAAAATGTGTGTTTTGAGCTCCAGCCTGCTAATTAATTATGCCATTAAAGACGCCCTGTCTTTAAAAATGTGGGGGAGGCAGAGACAGGTTTTATTATGTTCACGTTTAATTTACTAATAATTTGCTCAGAGGATGAGACGAATATTTGAGGTGAATCTTACCCTGCTTTGCTTCAGTTCACTGCTCTTCCTATGCTTTCTGTTCCTGTATACTCATCTGTACCTAAATGTTAATGTTATTTTATATGTTGTTGTAACTAATTTAATTATATAATGTGTGTGTGTGTGTGTGTGTGTGTGTGTGTGTGTACCTAAATGTTAATGTTATTGTATATGTTGTTGTAACTAATTTAATTATATAATGTGTGTGTGTGTGTGTGTGTGTAAATGACAACTATGTGATACATACTGTGGAACATAAAGTTTAGTGTTTAAAATTATTTTGTGGGCTTATTAGCAGTTTTTTTTTTTTTTTGCTTTTGCTTGCTGATTTATTTGCATGTTTTTTGTATGTTTCTATGTTTCTAATGTTGTTGTTTTTCTTGCATGATTTTCTAGCTTGTAGTTTATTTGATTTACAGGGTCGATCTCCAACAACAAATGGAAAAAAAGGACAAGGAAAAGAATGAAAACAGAAAAATATGACAGGAAAAAAACAAACAAACCGTAAAAGCATAAATAAAAAGTATAGGCAAAAATACAGTTGCATACAATTGTAAATACAATTGCAGTTTATAAAAATGATAATAGCAATAACAACAATTTCTTTGTCACATTCTTCTTTTTGGTTCTTCATCAAAATCCAGTTGTCATTTAATCAATTTTTATTCTGACAAACTGAATAGGATTAAAAGCCCAATCAAACATCCTTCCAGATGATTCTGAATCACCAAAGCCACATGATTGTTTTATTACTACTATTAAATCAACCCCAAATATCCTGCTCACTGCTTTTAAAATCTACATCTAATGCATTCCACTGTCCATTTCTTCTGTCTTTCTTTCTTTCTTTCTTTCCCTCTTCTCCCCACCCACCTTTATTTCTCCTCCCTGTTTGGTTCGTGCTGATGATTTCCAGCTGCTCAGGCACCATTCTGTTACATCTGCTTCTGCTTTAGTAATTAATAGCTCACTTTCCTCTCCCAGTCAGATTGGGAGACTGATCCCCCTCCACCCCTCCACCCTCTCACACACACACTCTTCTCTCTCCTGCCCTATCAGACCTGTCAATCACGTCCAGGCTGTTTAAACATGCCGCCGCCACCCCCCTCCCCCTTGCTTTCTTTCTTTCTCACTTGCTCTCTATTTTTCTCCACCGCTTGCTTTCTCTCTAACTTACTCTCTCTCTCTCTTTTTTTCTCTCTTGCTTGTTATATGCTCTATCTTTCTCCACTTCTTAGCTGCACCCCCCTCCTCCTGCTCCTCTAGGTTTATTCATTCACATCTTGGGAGTTTGGACACCCCCCCTCTTCAGTCCCATCCCCCTTGTTTCCAGCTGAACTCCTGTCCAACATCAACGGTTTCAATCAGTCTGCCAGAGGCCTATCGGGACACCAGCTCTGGCTCTCCTGGGTAGCCAATAAAGAGCCATTTCTGTTTATTTGGGTGCCTAAACAAAAACATTTATTTGTTTGTTTATATTGAAATAATTGTTTATAATCTTAAAATATTTTATATTTAAATAAATAGGCTAAATATTGTGTGCTGTGTGTTCAGTGTTTAAAATAAAACATCCATTAATAATTTGGTGGGATTATTAGCAGAAGATTTGTTTGGGTGATTAATTATTTACATGTTTATTCATTTTTTGATTTGGTTTACTGTTTGTAAGATTTACAGGGTAGATCTCAAACAAAAGTACTAATCATATTAGAAAAAAAAGAAACCGACAAAATGACAGGAAAATACAAAAAAGTATTGATACAATTGATTTATTATATAAGAAAGCTTAAAGGAAAAATCTTGATCAAATCTTAAATTATTATTTTTTTTAAATGTAGGTTGTTACTAAAAGTGTTGTTACATATCTTGTTTTAGTGTTTGAAAAAATTAAAATAATAATATGGATAAAAAGTATCAATATAATTGTGATCGATTAAATCACAAAGCTTGGAGGAGAGAAATCTTGATCAAATCTTTGATTCATAAATGATTTAAAAAATAAATAAAGTGTGCTACTAAAATTTTTTATAAATTTTTCAGTGTCTGTAAAAACTATAAATAATAATATTATAGATAAAAAAAATATTAATACAGCTGTGATTTATTAAATCACAAAGCTGAGGAGAAAAATCTTTATCATATCTTTGATTCATAAATTATTTTCAAATACTTTTTTCAGTGTGTTACTAAAAATGTTATACATCTTGTTTCAGGGTTTGTAAAAAGTATAAATAATAATATTATAGATTACAAAAATAAGAAT